TAAAACAATTTCAAGAGACACAGAATGCAATAATACATAAAACAATTTCGAGAGACACAGAATGCAGTAATACATAATACAATCTCAAGAGACACAGAATGCAGTAATACATAATATAATTTAAAGAAAAACAAATAAATGCAGTAATAAATAAATAGGAAATTTCCAGAATGAAATAGAATTTACTATATTTAGAGAAGAAAATGGATGTCTATATGCATTTCGTTTCATTAATTCTATTTATAAAAATAGGAATTAGCATTAACATCCGCAGTCTCGTGATTACATTTATCGCTGTCCATAAATTATTTTTTATAAAGTTTGATAACGATATCTTCGATTCAATGCTTATTTATAGATGTCATATACATACGAGTACATCGAGTTATACAATTTTTTATTAAATCATGCATGGCAATTAATGATAAGTAGAATCTTAGTTATCATATTTCTTCCTTAACATTAAATCTAATGACACTTCTGGTATTCCTGTTCCTATCGTGCAATAAGTACATAGAGTTGTACTATTTTTTACCTTAATTATGTATTATATTCATGCCCATAAGTCATGCCTATCGTGTCCATGAGTATATGCAGTTATACAATTTTATAATTAAGTCATGCATTCCATTCATGATAACCAGTCTTTTAATTATCATACATTCTCTAATATTCAATTTACATAGTGCCTACCATGTCCAATCTCAAATAGTTCTTAACAGAATTATTGTTTTTCTAATTAAATTCAGATAATACTTAGCTTATTATTGAATAAATTAATAAATGAAGAACTTTCGTAAAATGACACAAACTTATTTTCATATAATTTTAATTAGAAACTTAAAAAGAGTATTAAAAAATGAGTAATAGTCTGTCATACAAGAGCTTTCAAAACAGTTAAATTGATATTTGATGAAGATAGATTCAGTATGGAATTGATATCACTAGATTGCAGAATTTTATACAAAATTATCTGTCATACAAGAGCTTTCAAAACAGTTTAAATTGATATTTGATGAAGATAGATTCAGTATGGAATTGATATCACTAGATTGCAGAATTTTATACAAAATTATATATTTTAAAACATATTTCAAAGAACTGTAATTCATCTATATAGAATTTTCATTTGGGCAATTTCATAATGTGACATTTACATGAATAGTTTTATGTATTTATGGAAATTATATACAATAGGTGCATTTTCATACATTTACATTTCTTATAAATACATAAAAATCTTCAGTTTAGATCATATAAATTGTTTATGTATTATATTAGTGGAGATTATATACAATAGGTGCATTTTCATATATGCACGTTTCTTATAAATGCATAAAAAACTGCAGTCTAGATATTACTATCAGAGATTTACTCCTGGTACTAAGAAAAGACCAGGAAGTTGCGGTGGTATATAAAGAGAACGGAATAATTACTAATACGAGTCGGAATAAGGGGCTGGGGGTCGAGGAAGCGAGGTATTCCGCGAATCGTGTGATTCTCCGAGCAGCATTAACTTCTTCCCTCGGGAACGTTCCTAATCTCTTCTAATCTCGGCGAGGCGACTCGCCGGCTTGTAATCAAAACTGTTCCCTCGCACGTGTCCGATTACTTCCGAGAATCCTGCCAGAGAGCAATGGCTGACAATAACAACTCAAAAGAATCTCAACACTGACTGATTTTTTATTTTAATTCCACTGGTATCACTTTTAAAAAATGAAGTTTCCAGATTTCTCTTGTTAATTAAATATCACTACTCCTGCAATTTTTCACAACTCNAGTTAGAAGAAAAATACATAGAATCTTTCTTGTAGAGGACATCAGTGCCTACAATTTCTGTATAATATACTTTTCGCTATCGTCAATAATTAATTGGATATTTCCTCCTATACTTTTTAGCACGTAGCTATTTATTATTAGCATTGTTCTTCCGACGTCTGATTTCTTTTTAATTATAGGAAATGCGTTTTTCTAAGGTACATAATCTTTTGGGATTGACTGTATAGCCAGTACATCCTTAATTCCTGTTCCCATTTTAATCTGTTCCATCTTTCTATAATGTCATCTAATTCTTGCTATTAATTGCTGACTTCTCTTCTTTACTTAAATAATCCCAGCGTTTCTATTACACTAATATATTTGGTCTTTCCATCTTGTATTTGCTTCAAAATATATTTTTGCTAGGTCGTTTACAACATCTTCCCCTCATTCCTCGTTGACACCTAATTGACTACTCCACATTTCTAAATATTCTTCTCTTTTACAATTAAATCATGCATTCTATTTATGATACACAGTTTCTATAACAATTTATTGTAAATAAATTGTTTTTTTAATGTGCAGGTGAAATTGTTACCCAAGCAAGGCACTCTGATGCCGAGGAAGGCGAAGCAGGCCAATCAACCTTTCGAAACGACTTTCAGGTTGCAGGTAAACTTCGTAAATGTTTGATAGCAAATTGATTTCCGCGTAGAGCCTCTGCTCGGTAAATACTAAATTAGAGCGAATTATCAAGAAGTCTCTATTGTTCTGGTTTCCGTATCTGGCGCCTCTATCGCCACTGTTTCTGATACCGTGCCAGTTTATCAAGCGATCGTGTGCAAGGCGATTCTACCATTGTTGCAGGTACACCTGCCCAGGAACCAATTGTACGTGTCCCGGGTCAGCCCTAAGATGAATCTGGGCGAGATCTTGGACGAAGTCTGCCGTGAAAAAAACTTGGACAAAAATAAATACGAACTACGTCATCCAGGTGATTAAATTGTGGATTGTAAATATTTTAATTCCTTTGATCCATTTTATAATGAGTTATACATTGAATGGGACATTATCTGGTCCCTGGCTTATTTTTCTTCAATTTTAAATATTAGTTCCAGGGTTTACAGAGGTTATAATATATTGAATGGTCATTGTTAATCTTGAAATTGTAGAAAAGTACATCAATGAGTACAAATTGGGACATTTACTATAGCTTGTACAAAAGTCTGGATAAATTCATGTAACAAGTTTAGTAAAGGGCCAACCCAAACACGTCTTATGTTATCCAGGCTCTATTAGAATTTATTCTAGAAACGATTCACCTTCACTTGCAGTGGGACTTCGATAAATAATCTACTTAACCATTTAAGTGCGCTCGACGTGTATACACGTCGAACCAAATCTCTATTGCGGTTGACGTGTATATTCGTCGTGTAAAATAAAAAATTACAAAATAAAAAACACTGTAATCCTTCCTGGTTTTTCGTAAAATTTGTTATACCACCATTTGCCCTGCGTTCGACGTCTATAATCGTCATTGGTTGATTTCAATTCCGCACTCTGCGGGGGATTTTTAAAACTACATTCCACAGTTAACAGATTAAATGTCCCTGTAATACCCAAACTGGTACAGAACTTAGCAGAGCGTTAACCTAACATTTTTACAGCCAGAGTATATCTACGTGGTAACAATTAAGACGTTTACATAAGATTTACTTGGGTCTATTAACTTTGTCCCGAGTAGCATTTCTTGATAAGCTCGTCTCGCGCCATTGGCGGATATATTGAAACGGAACTGGATTTTGCTTTTGATATTTCAAACCGGTGCCACTGGCTTCTCTTTTTAAAGATCACTCCAAGCAGGTTTCTCAGCTTTTTTATAATTTTGCGAACATACCTAGCTAAATATATTTAACATCTTTCTTGGTATAATAAGTTAATAAATAAGTTACAGAATTACAGTTATTTTAATTTAATAGAAGAGAAATGCATGGTAATTCTTATATAAGTAATTGATTTCAAACTTAAACCAAAGTATTCCAAAGGAATCTGCTTGTTATGTGAACTTCTTCAAAACAAAATGAATGTTATTAAATAAAATTAGTTTATACTCTCCAAGAAATTCTTATTTACAAAAATACAAAATCGTATTGCATAATAGTTTAATTTAATAAATTGCATAATTTAATACCTCCTTTGTGGGTCCTAACCAGACGTCCGGATTCGAGCCAACGCTCCCGATTCGGAGCTCGCGTCAATCGAGCGCTCTGATTGGTCGGGGTTTTTTTGTTAATAACTCCTCAACCACGCCTTGGACAAGAAAATGTTGTTTAAAATTACGTCAGGAACCTCCCATTTCAATATGTTATACTAGTTCTGGGACACTGTATATAGAAACAGTGGTTGATTCGATTTCGAGTGTATTCGTACCAGCCAGTATAAATACACATATACATACATACATATATATAAATAAGGCTTCCGAAGCCATCCTTCTATCACGCATACATAAATACCCTCCCCCATGCGCATAACAGCGTTCCTAATCCAATTCGATGCTATTGTTTATAACGCGGCTGAAAGTCTTCCCCGACACTCCTGTCACAATTTTCATTCTACATCAATAAAAAAAAAATTCCGACGTTGAATTCTAATACGATTTCAATTGAATCACCCTGTAGAGTGGAATAATCTCGAGCGAAAGATACGCCACTAAGCGAGAGGCTATTCCCTATGCCCTGCGCCTCTATCCCCGGTTTTCTACGTACATATAGATCCCCACGTACGCGGCTGGTGCACGAGATATTTCAGTTAGCTAGTTACACCGAGCCAGTTGTGTTAAGATCGCTATCGCAAGGTTGCCGGCCGGCTCTTCCACTTGTTACCCCGGCCGGCGTCGTCGTTAAGCGCCTGCATGCCTTTCCGGACGTTCCCTTACACTTGTTACCGATCCCGGACCCGCAAGAATCTCTTTTTGCGCTGCCGAGCCGCGCCTTCGGTTCCCTCCGATTGCCTATGGAGGAAGATCGCCACCTGTTACGCGCCTTTGCATACTCTTCATTTTTCTGTTCAATTCAGGAAACTCGAGAAAGTTTATAAGAAATTAGAGTGTCGTGTATTTTATTAGTACTTAGTATAATAAAACGAGACAAGCTAGTGAAGTGGATGGAGATTTGAACAACGAATTTTCTCCTTCAGGGAACTTGGAGACTCTGGACCTTTCGTTGTCCCTGCAAGACTATCACCTGCAGGAGGTCACACTGTATGCTAAACAAGGGAGGACTCTGGGCTCGGGGCTTAGTACCCAGGATATAATGGTTCTCCAGAGGCAGGAGGAGCGACGTAGGCAACAGGCGAAGCAGGGCGTCTTCTCGTTCGTGTTCAAGAAGTCGAAGGAGGGCTCGTTGAGTACTGACAGTCTCGGTGGACGTAGTGCGTCGCCTGCGAGGAGCGACGAAACCGGGAGGAGCACGAGCCCCTTGCAACCGCCTGCCAGGCCTCAGAGGAAGAGGAGGCCCGCACCGAAACCTCCTACTCAAGCTCAGCCTGAAGTCAGCAATGTTAGTAATTCCTTATTGCTTTCATTCTAATTCGCATAGAATTATTGTAACTTTTTCAGAAAAGGATAATAAGAAATTTATCATTGATAGACTGCGAATGTTCATGCATTTATGAGAGATTTTTAAAAATTTAGTACATTAATAACAAATAAATAAATTTATTTACTAATGGGACTTAAAAAGAAATCTATTATTTTAGTTTTATGTTAAAGTAAAGAATAATGGAAAATAAATATTTATATAAATTTTGTTTATAAAGATTTTCTATTTTCGATTTTTTAGACAGTTTAATTAAACTTTTTATTATCGCCAAATGATATGTCGTGAGGAATGTTAAATATTAAATGAAAATGGGTTGGCGCAGAGCGTGGATGAGAATTCTGGAGATCCCGAGAAGGATAAGGTCGTGATTAGTCACAGCCGCAACAGCAGCGACAGTTCCGGTTACCACGAGGCTTCCGTGTTGAGCGACAACCCGGACTCCGCTGGGAGGCTCCCGGAGACGCTGCCGAGGAGGAACAAAGCTCCGTTGGAGATACCGAGGAAGCTGGCCCACACCTCTCAGTCCAGTAAGAGCCTGTGCAACCTGGCCTCTGTTTCCGGTACGCTTAGCCACGGAATTAGCAGCACCTCATTGAGTTCCACAGGTGTAGATCCTTAGTCTATCCTTTTTTTTTTATACATTTATTAATTACAGTAGGAATATTCATACACATCATTTAGCATCACGAAATTTGTGTCGAAAATCGACCTAGTTTGGGAGATGATTACTTCATGCAAAATAAAACATTTATGGTATCAGTTTTAATGGTCTACTTCAGATAAAGATTTATTTCATGATTATTGGGTTGGCAACTAAATAATTGCGAAGTTTATCGATAGACTTCTTATTTAAAATCCGCAATCACTTAGTTGCCAACCTAATAGAATATTGAAGTATGTATTCAGGTTTAGATATTTTTAATAGTTTTCTAAATTGTAGATAATTTTTGTTAATAATAAGGGGAAGGGTTGTTTATTTGAGAGTTCTATTATGTAGTAGATAAAATCGCAATTGGGTGGAATTTGGGATTTGAATTTCTTAATGGGTAGGCTGTGTTAGGGTGAAATTTGTGCTAGGGACTTTTTTAAACTGTTGTAACACCGAAAGAAAAAATCTTGGAATTTTCATGTTGATACATTAGAACAAAAGGAAAGGGAATCCCCTTTTCTCATAGGCTTAGAAATAGTAGTATTTCATTTATACAAATGATTCCAATTTTATTATAACAATTGTAATTACTAAGTTATTTTCCAAACTTGGGCAATTTTCTCGATATTAAAACTATTCCATAATTTTTCTTTTGCACTGTCCTTATTTATAAAAAACTCACTTATAGTATCACGAGTAGTAGTAGTATTCCAATTAGCACATCATCATTATTTTTTACAACAATTTTATTACAGCTAATTTTTAAATAATTAACTATTACAGTTTATTTTTAGAAATTATTTTTTTAATACTTTAGGACGAAAGAAGAGGACAGCCCCTCCGCCGCCAGTGACGAGGCCGTTGTCCTCCGCGATTTCCACCCAAGCATTAGAACGCATAGTAGATTCCGAGGAATCGTTGACATCGGACATGGACCCATCGAAGCCTCCATCAGACATCGGCGCCCCGTCCAAAGCGAATTCTGACATAGAAGATCGACCGAAAGCTAGCTCAGACATCGGAGTGACAACCCTCGGTTCGAAAATATCCTCTAGCATCGATTTCACCAAGGAACCAGAACCGGAGCGAAAGAACGACCTCGAGCGTCAGCGATCGGGATCCGTAAACGTAAAGTTATCCACGGAGCAAGACCGTCCCGTAGACGACGTTCCCGTAGATGCTAGAGTGTCGCGGAAGAGAGGTAAGCTAGTGCGTAGCTGCGGTAGTATAGAGAATGACCACCCCTCATACAGTTTCATATCAAGGAACAGCCTTGAAAATGTAGAGGATGGGACAGATGGCGAGAAGAAGCATAGGTGTTTGTTTAATACAGAGAAGATGAAACTGCAGTCGAAGATCGACGAGTGTAAATCAGAACGAGACGAGACTATCGATAATAAATTAATCTCGTCCCGAGCCAGTTCTTTGGAATCGGAGAATAATTATAAATGCAGAGTCATACGTGAAAATGAAGAGTTCGACGAGTTTGAACGAAGCCTCTTTAAAACCGGATCAATCCGATGCAAAGTTGATACTTTGAAATCAGAGAACAATTGCTCTAAGTCGAATATATTAGTCACTTCAAAGATTGGCTCCTCGGAATCTGAGAATAGTTACGAGTGTAAAATCGTGCGTAGGAGCAGCGAGGTTTCTGATAATTTTAATAAATCCTCTTTTAAAAGCAGATCAGTTAGGTGCAAGCTTATTTATTTAGAGCCTGAAGATAATTGCTCAGAGTCGATTAGGTCCATCAGGCGCAAAGTTAATTCGTCTGAAAATAATTCTGAACAAAGAAATAAGGGAGTTTTCGATGGTTTCAATAAGAATTCTAGTAGGAATAAATCTGCGAGATTGAAAATGCATTCAAAGCCTGAGAACAATTGCCTGAATACTAAAACGGAATCTTCAGAGTTTGAAAATAATTGCTTTAAATCGCTTCGATCGATCAGAGCTAAAGTGAATTCATCAGAAACCGAGAACAATTCTTCTAGATTTAATAGATCAGTTAAATCCCAAGATACTTCGTCTGAATCTAAATCTAAAAAGTTACAAAAATCCCAAAGCTTCGCCTGTTCCAATAAGTCGAGTACTAAAGAATGGCCCAAAAGGCAAAGTATTTCCGACGATCAGAACATTCTTCAAAGTAAAATCGAATCCGAGAGCGGGCTACATAAAATGCAAACCTTAGTCAACTTAGACAGCATCGAAAGGATCATGGAAGACATTCCAGAACGCGACGTGTTAGAAAACAGCTCAGATCCTAAAAACCTGCAAAACAATTACACACGCGAAACGAAGCATCAGAGTTCAAACCCGTTGAAGCATAGCTCTAGTTTCCAAGCTGGTTACAAGTTAAGGGAGACGAAAATAATAAACGACTTTGAGAAACCGAAATTATCAGGCTCTAGGAGTTTCTGCGTTCGACAGAATAATTCTGATTTATTAAAGGGGCAAGCTAGATTAGGGGACGTCAGTACGACTAGGTGTTACGATGGTTCTATATCCTCGAACTTAAATTCATTGATAGACGAACGGAGGTTGAATCTCTCCCCGCCTCCTTTGAGCAATTTACAAATATTCGCGATTTCTACTAAACCAATGGACATCCCAGTGATCACCGTTGATCCGGTGCCCAATAACGTCGACAAATTACCTACCCTGCCTATCATTCAGCATAACGAGTGTAAAATAGAGACCGATAAAAAGCTGAGCATCCTAGAACCTCCGCCACCGGGTCTGGTGAGCCGAGAAGAGTCCACGGAAAGTTGGAACAGGTTCTTGGTTCAGTTGAACTCGATATTAGAGAGCAGAGCCGGGGAATTCGTTTAAATCATCTGTCTGTCTCATCCTTTACAAATTTTAAGATAAAACAAAAGTAGTCCTCCTATGAATTAACTTTTAGGTTATGAAGTTAACTGTTAGGAGAGTTGGAAACAGTAATTTAAGCATGCTTGTAGAAAGAGAGTAGCACTCTTTTTTTCCTCATTAGCACCTAATCGGAATCCCTCCTTTTTAGTATTTCTTCACCTGCTTGCTAGACTAGTCTCGGTGACGGTGTTTTCTTTTTACCTTCGAGCACAGTTGGAGAACCCGCTCCGCTCCCCAAGCCTAGAAAGCGCTCGACGACGCAACGGCCCGAGGTACCTAGACGCAAAATAGCGCCGCCCTCTCCTTCCAGTAGAACCCTAAGCTCAGAGTCCAGCAACGTAGACCGCTTGTCCAACGCTCCGTCGCCCGTTGCTCGCTCCGAGAGCATCGAGAGGAGTTCTGTCAGGTCCGATGAGAAGCTCGAGGTCGTTTCCTGCTACTCCACTAGCGAGGAAGAATTCTTCACTCCTGGGCCGGATCAGTCTCAAGAAGTTTTCAATTACGATTCTATTATCCTTAAAGAGAAAACAGAAGCAATGAAGAATGAAGACGTTAAATGCGAGAAGGAGTTGGAGGAAGGGAGTATAGAAAAATCAGAGAATACTTCATTGATAGAAAATAAAAATTGTAATCAAACTGTAAAAATTACCAAAGAAGAATCGAATTCAGATAAGGATTACAATTCTATTATCCTTGAAGAGAAAACAGAATTAATAAAGAATAAAGATGTTAAGTGCGAGAAGGAATTGAGTACAGAACGAAATACGCAGAATTCAGAGAATCCTTCATGGATAAAGAATAAAAATTGTAATCAAGCTGTAAGGAAGATATCTAAGAGGGAATCGAGTACAGATGAGGAAGATTCCTCTTTGCCAAGTGACGGAGTCCAATCAGTTAAAGAGAAGAGGGTCTGCGCGGTGATCTCGACGATGCCAAAGTGCGACCACTTGAACGAGCTGAGCATGGACGACGCGGTGCGCGTTCAGCGTGAGCAGAATAAGGAGGGTTTTAAGGAGCCGAGGAAGGCCAGGATCCCTCGGACGGCTTCCAAGTCGAACGACTTCGAGACGAACTCTTTGGAGAAGCAGAAGAGGCACTTGACTTCACACGCCGAGGATATCACGTTCGCTTTGAATCTGAACGTGGCGTCCGCCATTGCTCTGCCGAGGGAATCTGATTCTGAAGACACTCCCCCGGGTCACGCAGTGGGTTCACCAGGTGCATGTTGCCTTATCACTAACAGGGTTGCAGGGGAATTAATATAACTTATTTATATACTCTGGTTAATAAATAAAAAAAATGACTACTCTAATTACCAAATGATTCTTAATGCGGCAATTAAAATGTCTGCATCCCTGGTTATTAACTTTGGTTGAGGGTTCTTTATTCTACTCACGATTTTTCATGCTTGTATCAGTCAATGGTTGAGCAATGTAATATTAAAATTGTTAAGAGTAATTCGTAGCCTTCCAGCTGAATACTAATATAACTGTCTTTAGTTTGCCATTAACTTCTGGGGTTCTAAAAATTTTCCAAACTACCAGAACTTGTATTTTAATCGTTTAATAATTCGTCTTCACTTGACTGCACAGTATATTAAGTATCAATGAATCCGCCATTTAAATGATTAAACGTTCAATTGCAGATAATTTCTCAAAGACGGACGCACTGCTTCAGAAAGTATCCGACACTTTATCCAGCTCTTTACCCGAAACATCTGTCAGTCCAACGGAAGTTCGTAAAGTAGAACCATCGAAAGAGGAAGCAGAAGCAGAGAAGAAGAAGAAGAGCATAGTTTGTCCAGAAGAATCCCGCATAAACAGCAGCACGCCGAACTTAACTGTGAGTTCGCAGCAGGACACATCGGACTACGTCTCGGCAGCTGACGAGGATTTATCTGCAGTGGAATGGGAGTACCAGCTTCCGGCGCCTCCTAGTGCCTTTCGGGACAGCCAGTCGCCAGTGTTCGACAAGTTCGAAGCGCCCGAAGAACCGAAACCGATCGAAACTTCGAACGACAAAGACCGAAGGAAGACATCCGAGAAACCAGAAATCCGAGACACCAAAGTGAACGAAATTCAGAAAGATACTCCGCAAGAAAAGTCACTGAAGCAACAGAAATCGGAGTTGAACTTGAAGAAGGAAGTGATCAGCGAATTGGAAAATAAAATAGGCACCCTGCCTCAAAGTTCGAAAGAGCTTGACTCAAAAAAAGCAATAAACCATCCATCGACGCCGAAAATCGCTCCTGTCGACAATACTCTATCGAACTTCACTATAACTACGTACAGCAGACAAAAGAATCTGAATATATTCGAGGAAGTACAGGAACAGTCCAGAGCCAAGAACGACGATAGGTTCATCAAGTCGTTCGCTACGTTGGCTAGAAACAGGAGCAACTCGAATGATAACGAAGATAGAACTGAGAAGGAATTCGACGTAGGAACGTTGCAGGGGAAGAAGAGAGTCGAAGAGGATGGGAAGAAGCTGGAACCAAAGATACAACCGGAACCCTTGCAGAGGTGGCAGAACGAGAAGAGCAACGTTCAACGGTCGAAGAGTTCCGTCAGCGAGAAGCCTGTCCTCAAACTGAATGTGAAGGAGATTCTTAAAACCGAAAAGGATTCGGAGGATGGCGAACAGGAAGATAAAAAGAGGAGCAATGAGAAGTTCTCACAATGGCGGGAGAATATTCTGAAGCGGCAAGAGAATCCTACCAAAGAAAAGCAACTGCAGTCCATACAGGTAATATTTCATTTATTTCTCATAGAAAACATAGTAAAACAAGATTTTTTCATTTTGGTTTTGGAATATCCACTACGTGACTCTTGTAGAATTTTGGGAAAAATTAGGTATTGGAAATTGACACATTTACCATGGTCTCTCGTGGCGAGCAGTGGAACTAGACGAAGCCATGCGCAGAATGATCAAAAACTGAACTGTGCCGCTCCTAAACTCTCCCGCCCCTGTGTCAATTCCCAATAAAGAAATAATTAATGAGCGGAGCTAAACACTATTGATTAAATATTTTTAGTACAATGCAATTAATTATTTTTATATTATTTCTGTTTCATTAAAGGTGATGAAGAGCATTTTGCCGCAGTTGAAAAATGCTCAACAGGCGGAGGAAAATGTGCCCAAAGAATCGATCGATACAGTATTAATTGAAAAGACGAGGTAAGACTTCTTAAATAATATTAATAATAAATATAGGGTGCGGTATTTGTTATTGTAATAATAATAATAATACATCTCCTAAATCCAGAAATTAGTTAAATTGTTTGTTTTCCAGATCCGAGACTGCGTCTAACGATCATTCGACCGAATCGAACGTCGTTCCGACTCGCGAGCCTAATAAACTGGAAGCAGAGATGAGAAAACCATCCGTGGAGAACAAGGCGAAGCGGTACACCTACTCGGGGCCACCAACGATCAATCTAGGCAGCTGGTCTGAGAGACCGACCGCCAATGTCCAAATCAAAATGGACACCGATTACAAATTCGGTATCAAACCAATCAACAACAACAACAACAACAGAACCGTAATCAACATAAATACCACCAGTAAAGACGAAGTGGACGCCTCTAATATCGAAAGTTCCGTGAAACAAAGAGCTGACGTCCCGTCGAACGAGTTGACTAAGAAACTGATCACTCACACAACGGCAACCGGCTTCAAAAGACCCGTACTAAATAAAATTAATCCAGAGCCGAGGAAGAGTAACGACAAGCCGATTGTAACCGGGGTAGAACTGAAGAAAGGTTTCGCTGAAAACAAGGACGACGATGTCATAGACACCAGCCCCTTGAATTTTAAAGAATTGACGAAGGCGTTCGGGCAGGACGTTTGCCTGCGACCGAAATCGAAGCGGTCGAACACGATCCATCGTTCGGACTCCAATTTGGAGAACGACTCTAGGAAACAGAACGGATGCGTGAACACTGACGCTTTGACAAACGGTCATCAGGAGAAGCCGAGGAGGTTCACTTCGGTGGTCGGCATCCAGGCGCCGGGTACGCTTCTGTTCAGAAACGGACTTGCTGCCAAAGGGCCTGTGCCTGTTGTCAAAGGATTCAAGATCCCGACTGCAAGAGAAGAGCAGAGTAATTCGAAGGTGGACGTTAGTAAGGAGCCGAAGGTTCCTCAACCTCCGAGGCCTCCGACGATGCCAGTGATCACTGGCGTGACTCTAAAGAGCGCCAGGCCGAAGTCCATGCCGGTGCAAACGGACCGGCGGGACGTTCTACTGGAATCGATTCGGAACTTCGGTGGTCGTGAGAATCTAAAGAGCGTAAGCATCTCAACGTGACCGAGTCCCGCGAGGCAAACGCGTGAAATTAAGATAATGGGAACTCGAGGAAATGGCGGTATTTCGATTTTCCGAGTCTCCCATTATCTTCATATTCGCGTAACACGAGAATTTATGGTTGCAGGCCTCCGGGATCTATCGAACTTAACTTCCCTCGTCCAAACCGGAGATCGTGGACGTTCCATTCCCGTGAGGACCACTCTGGTGCTTTAGCGATTAAACGAAAAAAATTAGTCGAGCCGAGGAATGAAACGAACTTCGTTCGTTAACGTTCAAATTTCTCTTGTCGATTTCAATCGCCGCTCTTCAACGCTCACGTGTAAATATCGTGTGTAAAAAGCCGAGAATAGGTAAAGGGTTGTCAATAGAAGAAGAAGAGGGGAAGAGCGTGTACATATTATATCTAGGCGTGTAAAGCGATAGGAGGAGAGGTGTGTGCATTTGTCCAAATAGTCAACGGACCGTACACGGTCCGTTCCCGAAACGTTGTTGCTCATCACATGACGCAGTCCACGCAGTTTGTTAAGTTTTTCTTTTTTTTTTCTCTTCTTTTACTTGGTTCGCCCGACCGTTCGGTTTTAATTTAAGAAGTTACGCTAGAACGGTTGGCTCAATGTTCGACTAACACGTCCTACGTTCTGCTTTACGATTAACAATTTAAGTTTCTATCACTGGGACCAAAGGTGACGTCTTTTTATTTTACGTATCGTACAACGAATTTAGATGCAGTTTAAGGTGTGTGCAAAACTCTACGAAAGATGCGATCTTTTCGTTTTCTGAGAGAGAGAGAGAGAGAGAGAGAGAGAGTGATAGAGTGAGAGAGAGAGTGAAAAAAATCTGGTCATGCGTTATGCAATTAAGCGTTAACACGTGTTCGCTCGGTACAACGAAGATTTATTTAACAACAGTTTTTTTCCTTTACGTTCACGTCGTTTTCTGTTAAGTCGAAAATGAAGAAGAAAAACAATAAAGTTGAATAGTTTTTGGGTCCGCGTGTAGACGCGGCATTCTGTTGATATAATTAACTACTTATTTTTGAAATAATCGAGAACTGTTGCTAGTTTTATGAACAGCGAATCGTTACGGCAAGTGGAAGGGCATATTTCTATGTAAATAGCATGTAACGTGTTAATACTGTATTTAATACTATCTTCTCTCCTGAATAAAATATATTACGGCGAGACTTATAATTTACATCTGTCGTTATTCATAATTCAAACGTAAAAAGTAAAATACGATAAATATTTTATTTATATGTTCGTACAAGTCCACTGATGTACATTGGTCCTTAACAAATTCCGTACAAAAATAGCACCTATCAGTTTTACGGTATAAAAATTCCTCTCGACCAACGACAACGTCAGAACTCTAATACAATTCCAATTAAACATGTAACGTAGAAAATTAATTTTCAACTTATAACCTATACTCGTGTTCCCGAATCCACGAGTATAGTATTATTTGAACGTATTGCCACCGCGACGGAAGATATATATTGGAATCACAGATCCCGTAACTATTCAGCAACAGGTACAGTCTTCTTCCCATTTCGATTGCACCAACCATAATTCTAATAGAGATCCCTCGTCCAGAGTTTGTCGACGATTGACTTGAATCAATCGCCCGGTATCGGAGTATTGCAGTTACCGTGCCACAGTTTCGTTTCCGAGTCGCATCTCGAGTAATTCTCGAAAACATCCGTGTACCCGCGATCCCTCCACCACGTGCATAGCTGCCTGTTCCAACCGCAGTCTATCGTGTGAATTAATTCCGGCCTCTCCATACCGAGAAGGGTATAGAAATCCTGGTCCCCTAAATGTCCCTGGAAATAAATGAACGTGATCAGTTCTGGGATAGCGTTTCCTTGAATTAAAACTCTGTCAATATTGGATTTAATTTTCTTTAGGAGCTTAGAGTTTATTCCGTTTACCTTAAAGTGATACTTCTCGGTGATCGCGTCGACGCTCTCTTTTTTAACAATTTCATCATAAACCGACGAGTTTCGTATCCTGTCCAGATTGAAAAGTACCATCCCACTGTTGTAACCAGGATAGCCCCTGGAAGTCGGAGGCTCCCCGAACTTCGTTTCAGGATGCTTATTACGATAAAGATATAGAACATGTCTATACACTGGTGTTAGTTCTGGAGCTAAACCAAAAAGTGCATGATTTCCAAAAGCCTTGAACTCTTCGAAGAGCAGTTTGATATCTTTACGGAATTTAGTGTCAGCATCGAACATCGCTGCCAAGGCTTGTTCAGCCGGAGCGATTCGATGCAGGCCCAAGGACAAGAAGAACAAAGCATCGGAATAGTAAGTCCCAGGTTTGCTGCTGAAATGAGGCGACATAGCAGACACTATGTCTTCTAACTGTGACGCCAGCTTATGCACATCATAGTATTCCACCTAAAATGAGTAAAATAATACATGAAAACCGAAGTATGAAACTTGAAATAAGAATAAGAAATTGCTTAAATAAATTGCACCTTCATGAATTTCCCTGTGGAGGATAAGACGTTCCCAAGAGCCTTCTCCGCGACGGTTTTACTATCGTCGTCGGTGATCACGTGAAACGCGATGTCGACAGTGGACAAACGTAGCAGGGATTCAGCGAATATCGCAAACTTCCGCCTCATCGGCGAATTGCTGGCGACCTTCGTAAATATGCACCAGACGTTGTAGTAGACCGTATCGTTCCGGAGAAGGTAGAACGCGGTGGTCTCCTCGGTCGGCCTGCCCGAGACATTCTCCTGCTCGCGCAGCAACGTCCAGCGTGCACCATTTGACGTTTGGTAGCAGTAAAACAGCACGAGGATCACGGCGATCAGCGTCAGGTTGATCAACACTCGTTTTAACAAGAGCATTTAATTATCCGATCATGTTCGAGTCTCCTCCGTACGGGCGTACGAGTATGCAGTTTTTGTAAGGGGAGACTAGAAACTGACAGAACGCATCGATTCTGTTATTCTTATTGGAGTTCTTGTATAATCGGTCGTTGACAAGCGACGGTCGTAAATAGAGGAACTGTAACTGTGTAGTCTTTATCTGTTGAATCGTAGCGATATATGTGGAGATCACAGTTTATTTATACTGAAAACAGCAGTGGGTTAGGTATAAACAGAGATGGACAGATCGTGGGATTTTTGGGGCTAGAGGTTACTAGCCGCAGTCTAGTACTGTACCTAAAGTTGCATTAGATTTTGAGTGTGAAGACAGACTTAGAATTCAAGATATTTTTTTAAGAATAATTTTGAAAATTAAATATTACATTATCTGATTGCACTGTTATTTGATATAATCATTTGTTTAGTTTATTTGAACGTACAAACAATTCTGTCAAAAGTTCAACATTATGCACAGGCTTGCGGTCACGTGACATCCCTAGTTGTAACGTCACTCGCGCATGCTCTCAGACACCCAGTTATAAAAAATCTTGCGCACCATTTGAACAACTAATCACGGATGCTTCCGCTCGTCAGCCATTTTGGATTTCTAACCAATCATGCTTCATATTAAAACAGAGCAAATTTTAAAATCGTAAATATATCAAAAATTAAGTTCTCAGAGTGTAATATGTATGCGTGTTCGGACTAAATAATAGGTCATCGTACTTACAATATGGCCGACGAGTGGAAGACGCATGCAGCGATGCATTTGAACACACCTTGTGGAAGACCAGCCAATGTTATACATATTGCGCGCATATTGTTAATAATTTTTAATATTTATTAGGAGAATGTCTATATGAGTGAGTTTCGAATGTGAGGAGAAACGAGGTCACGGAAAGAATGGCTGGATTTAATCCTTTTCGAACTGAGGCAATAATACATTATGGAACAAGGTAGAAGGGAGTAAAGTCGTTGATTATTCTTCCGGGTGGCTTTAGTAATCACCCGGGAGAACGGTCGACTTCACTCTCATATGGCGTATAGAACTTTATTCACGACCTAACTATGTAGTCACTTTGCTGCCTTGAAAAGTAGAACCACCGAGGAGATGCTGACTACTTTCTCTTTATTTCTTATCTCGCATGTACATAACATTGTCTAAACGGACTCCTATTGAAATCAATTTCCTGTTTCGAAT